CATTTCAGACGATTCGCTATCTCAACATGACAGTGCTTCATTCATCACACTATGTTTGTGTGTGTACTTGTTTAAACAGAAACAAATTCTCCCTTAATTGGCACTGTGCACTTCTTGCCAACAGTTGGTCAGCTAGAAAAATCTGTAACTAAGGAGAAGGAAGCTGAGCAATGATTTCTGCCTCTCTATTCAACGTTGGACTGAAAGGCTCATTATGAGGCAAATTCATATTCAGGCTAGTGCAAAACTGCAGATTCTATATTAGCTTCACTTAATTTGGTGGGAACGAATGCACTGTTAAGAGGTTTCGCCTTGCTTTATATGAACACCGATACAAGCTTCAAGCTAAGTCCACATAAATGACAACCAGGGTTAGGTCTTGCAGTATTAACACTATTGTCTGAGCCATAAAACATCATGATAAAAGCCATGATGCAAATATCTCCAGAGGAGGTGCACCAGCCAATCACAGGCATCTCTGACTCATCCTTGGTGACATAACTAAGCGTTGGACACTGAGAGCAACGTGTGGGTGGGTGTGGTTCTCTCATTTTACTGCCCGTCTTTGTGCCTGTCTGTGGGTCCGGCCTGAGGGTGGGTGGGCAGGGGCGGTGGTGTGGGAGGTGTGTGTGTGGAGTGGGGGCAGGGTGGGGACTCAGCACAGTGAGGGGATGGGGAAGCAGAGGTGGCAGGTGGAAGTCAGAGCAGAACAATTTAGCACAGTGGGAGTTGAGGTGCAGAGGGGCACGGGGTCGAGGGTGGGGCCGGCGTGAGAGCGGGGATCATTGTTGTCAGGGAAACAGTAATTTGCCCCAGGCCTGGACCGTACCCACAATCCTCCATGGTCCTTCTGTCTCTGCCATTATCGTTATGGTTTTTTTTGTTTCTTTTTTTTTTTTTTTTGGCCGTTTCCGCTCAATGTCAGAGAGGAAGATCGGTTCGGAGCTTCGATGTGATCAGAATCTTTAAGACATAAATGCAAGAAAAGGAAGGGAGGGGGAGGTGGGTGGAGCCAGGTCTGAGTAATCGCTGTCATTGTGGACCCAAAAGGTGATGGTGGAGAGGGGATGTGAAAGACTGACAATGCTGTGATCATTTTCTAATCCATCCTTCTAACCCATTCCCATTCTTACTCCTCCCCCCCCCCCCCCCCAACCCCACCCCATCCATCTAAATTGCCAAATCAAATCCATCCCCACAATCCCACACCACACCCGAGATCCCAAGACACAAACTCCCTGCTGGTCTGCTTGACTATCCATCCATTCAACCCTCTCACTTCTCCTCCTTCTTGGGTTCTTCCTTCTTCTCCTCTTCCTTCTTCTCCTCCTTCTTGGGCTCCTCCTTCTTCTTGTCATCCTTCTTGTCATCCTTCTTGTCATCCTTCTTGTCATCCTTCTTGTCATCCTTCTTGTCATCCTTCTTCTCCTCCTTCTTGGCATCGTCCTTCTTCTTGTCATCCTTCTTCTTATCCTCTTTCTTCTTATCCTCTTTCTTATCCTCCTTCTTGGTCTCCTCCTTCTTCTCTTCCTCGGGCATCGGCTCTGTAGTGAGGATCACTTTGCCAATGTTGTTCCTTTCCTGCATCTTTCTCATGGCATCACCCACCTGGAGGAGAGAGGGAGAAGCTGATTATTTAAGGCGAGATGAAAGAGCAAATAGCGAAAAGGAGCAAAGGGAAGCTTTTAAACAGTTCTCTTTGAGACAGAAGAAGCTAGTATCATCCCTCCAAAAACATTTCCACAGCAATATGTGTTTCTTTACATTATCTGCCTCCAATTTCCCTTCTTGACACCACAGCCTGGAAACAAATATTGCAAGCTTGCTCTTCAAATATGACTTTAATATGCAGTATATGAGAAATTATGTTTGTTTAGATGAGACTTTAATAATCTTTGAGGGGAAATTAGATTGTTGTAGCAGTACACAGCAAATAAGAAGTGGTAACAGGATAACGGAGCAAATGGAGGGAATAATGAACACTTCAAACATGCATTACTTAATATTAGTGTGTCTTAAGTATAAAAATAGTGAATGTTTTAATGATGGGCCAACTAAAATCAAAATCACTTTTTGCTTCATTTTATCAAATTCACCCATTCTATCAAATAACAGACATCCCCCCCACAATATTAAGATGTTTTAATCACTATGCATTAGGAAGGAAGTAACAGATTTCCTCAAGAAGACGGAGTGTTGATTACATGGAAGTAAGTAGTCTGTGTTTAAAGCAAAAGAGGGAATACTTTGCTGAAATGCAAACTTGAAGCCACTGGCTTTCAACTGATGACAACTTAGGTATTGCTTTTTAAAATTTAATCTACATTTATAAACATTCATCAGCTTCATAATAGCTGATGGTTCTACTACAGCTCAGCTTGGAAATATTGTGCAAGGAAACTTTCCACTAAAAATACATTTTGCAGTAAAACTTTCAAAGTATTGTGTAATTCAGATTGCTGAAGCGTTAAGCCTAAACTTAAGAACTGATTTTCTTTCCTAAGACCAAGGATTGAGGATTTTATGCTCCATCACTTCAAGTAAAATTGCTTTTAAGAAGAGATTTCTTTGCTGGCTAGAATGAACAGGATTATAGTGACCAAAAAATGTGGTACTGTAGAATTTGGCATGTCATTCTTATTGAAAGGTTGGCCTGGAAAAATGTTACACCGTCCTATTGAGGTGCTTATTGGGTTAAAATGATTAGAAAAAAGAAGAAGTATGAAGTGGCAAATCTGATATTTATGAGATTTTCTTTCCAAAAACTAAATATTTCACGTTGGGACAGATGAGATTACAACCCCCAGGCTCCCCTCCTCATATTGATGGATGGGTGACGTTGGTCCTACTGCTCCTTCATCATAATGATGAGTGGAGAATCCCAGCTAGACTGGCCCCACCCTCCTCTTGACCACTGGGCTCTGTCCACTGTCTGTTCCCGTCTCCATCACATCTCCCTCCCTCCTTCCTCAAATCTCGCTATTTGCGCGAGGCAGGCAGACCACCTAACGACCAATGCCACGGCAACAGGGCCATCTCCTAGCAACGTAAAGCCTGGCTGAAACGTGGCCCTGACGACTTAGACACATGGGAAAGGGAGAGGAGGAGGCGGAGGGAGCAACTGGTATCCCACAAATGAAGAACAGGCAATGAAAGAAAGGGAGGGGTGAGTCCAGGAATTATAAGAATCATCTTCGATGTGAATGAAAGTCACAGACTGCCTCCTTTTAACGACTCCACCGACTTCTAGGCTTCACTCTCTAAGATCTGCCAACCTCTCTCACTCCCAGGCATCTTGATAAGGGTGTGCTATTTGTGGCTACTTACATGACCATTATCTTCTTGGAAATCGGTGCAGATGTAGATAATGAATCCTGAGGAACTACAGGAAAGGAAGGAACAGTCTAATTTACAAAAAACATGGTCCTAGCATGTTCATTGATTACTGGAGGAAAAACAAAGAGTGACAGTGGGGGGGATGGGATGTGATGAATGGGGTCAAGATGTGGCATTTCAACCGAGGTCATAAAAATCGATCAACTATCTGTCATGGTCTGCTGTGTCATTAGTTTTTCCATGTCTCTTTTTTTCAGTTAACTCCTCTTATTTGTAAGTTTCTGTTGTGTATGTGTCCATTTTATTTCGTGCCTTTATTATTTTTCCCAATATTTTTATGGTCTGATTTGCCTTTTTCCCCTCGCCTGTTGATTGCCATCCTGCTCTACTTTATGTACTTTTAGACCTGTTTTACTTAGTCTTTGTGACTTTTCCCTCCCCATTTCTGTCGGCGACTCCCCTTCTTTTCTCCTCCTGTTTGGAAATTTTTATCCAATAAGATAAAAGTTTTTTCAGTTCAGTTATTTATTTTTTGCTGCAAAATGAGACTGAAGCAAACCAACAGTGTCACTAAAACCTGTCATAAATGTTGCCATGTGGTCAAGTTGTTGTTATTAACAGTGATCAATTATCATAAAAATCCCCCAATTTTTCTTCTCCAGAAATAAATTGACATTTGAACTCAGCAACCTGTTCTATATGAGTTTAACCTGGTTACAACCTGGCAGCCATTTGAGTCGAGTTCCCTCAAGTTGTGCGTTCGCATTTATAAATTATTTAAGCAAATATATGGAACCTTTGACAACCACAGAGTGATTGCAGTCAGTCCAAGTCTGACAGCAACTGTTTGCAGAAAGGTTGCCTCCTATCAAGTGACCTATGTAATCACGATCACTGGCCGTAACACCTCCAAGCTCTGGACAATTTTAACTTGTATGACTGAGCCATTAGTTTGCTGAGCCGATTAAATGTAAATTTGCTCGGGTTGCATGATCACGGGATGGTGGCGCATGAGGTGAGCCCTCTTGTTCATCGTTTTCCCAGAGTATTTTTATTTATCTAATAAAATAAATGGATTCCCTGTATCGCCACGTAATTGCCACATAAAATATCAGGATACTAAGCTGTATCGATTTCTTTGCCCCAAACCTTAACTTTAATGGTCTTCTCCCTCCATCTGTAAATTAATTAACTTAATTATATACTCTGCAATGCATCTTCTGCCTTGGTGCCTGCGTTTGAAAAGTACACTAAAACATAACCCTATTAACCCACAGCTTTTACTTCTACTAGCAGAAGTGTGACTGGCTACGGTTACATCTTCTGACTGAAGATTTCAGGTCAGCTGTTTACATGGAATGTGATTTAATATGGTCTGAGTTTTACATGCATGGATGCACAAACACTAAACTGGGACAGTGTAACATGCATAAGAGTAATAAACAGAGTCATTTTCACTCAAACTGCAGCCCTGAATTTTTACAGGCATTACCCAGGAAAGAACATTGGACAGTTGGATTGGAAATTAATCGGAATTTGACCTGCCAGCTCCCTGGTCCTGTGATATTCCACTGTGCCATTGTAAGATGACATAGCCAAAAGTAGAGTGAATGTACAGGAAATGAGTGGTTGTCAAGTTTCCTACAGGCGTATTACCAGAAGCGAGAAGGCATCCAAAGCAGACCATAACCTGCTTCATGCCAAGTACGAGTAATGATCCAACTGGTTTCTCCTAGCATTAAGTTCTTGTGAAAGTTCTTATCCCTTTGATGGGTGTTGGAGCAGCTCTCTGATCTGAAGCAGTTTCCATTATTATCTTCTTTAAAATCAAACTCCACGTAGGGCCAATTCAGCTCAAACCACCATTTTTACAAAATTGTAAAAAGTGTTTACAACCTTTGTTTAGAAAAAAAAAAAAGGAATCATTTATGTGCTATAATTTCTTTTTAAATTCTGATCAGTTTATGAAAAGGTCCCACCCTATGCAACCATTTTAAATTTCAGTCAGTTTCAGCCGTTTCATATTTCTTTGTATGGAGCTTTTAAACCTTTCAGAATCATTAGGCTTCATGTAAATCTAACCCATGTTTGCAGACTTTGTCCAAAAACTTGCTCCAAGCCAGACAGAGATTATACCTTCTCTTCTGTGTATTTCCACTCTCCTTCCATGTCTCTTTCTCATACATCAGGGCCCCTCCCTAAGACAGAGGCACACGCTGACTAAAGGATGTCACCATAGCAACAAGAGAGAAAGAGCAAAAAAGATACACTGTGAGGAGGGAGAAGGAGAGAATACAGCGAGACAGAGAGAGACAGAGAGGGAGTCAATAACCTAAAGACAGAGAAAAAGAATCTGATAGAAAGAGCAGACAGATGGAGAGGCAGAGAAAGAGCGTCAGATGGCGGAGAAAGGCAGCGGGTGTTTCTCTCCGGTCCCAGTCACACAGCCAAAATACTGACCAGCTCTGACTTTGACAACAGAAGATGTCAGCCTCTGACTCTCTCTCTCTCCGTCTATCTGTGTTTTTCACACCATCTCTATTCATATCTGTTAGCAGCGTTAATTTTGTCAGCAACAATCGGAGTCTGTCTGTCTGACTGAGACAGAGCGCTTCTTCTGCACAAACTTTGGCTGTTGAATGGGAGGCTTATTGAATCACGGCCACACCCAGCTTCTGCAGATCCTACCACCAAATGCATAAACAGACACAGGCCCACCTGGCATTCACATCCATTTTAAGAAAGGGGTGGGGGGTTGTAAATGTGAGTCAATAAGCATATATATTAGAGGTGTAAATGCACCCGTGTTGTGATAAATCATCTGGTCTTACAAAAAAAAAAAAAAAAAAATATAAAGGACATTAAATGGAAACGGTTTAGTGGCAAATTCAGCTAAAAAGGAAAACTACTGCATATGTCTTGTAATATACAATTTCTGCTAAATTGTAAAGATTAGCAGAAATTCATCTAAAATATAATTTAGATTAACAAATGAACTAAATAAATACAAGCCATTACATTTATACTAAATTAATGTAATGTCAAAAATTCTAAGGCTACACTGTAATAGTCCCTGCAATGACCTAATCTACTCAACTACACTGACCACTTTAAGCAAAATTTCAAAAAACAAAAAAAATAACAATGATATAATCTCATAGTATTTAACCGATCATAGCCTCTACTTATAAATTTATTTTATGTGAGAATAAAGAACGTAATCCACCAAGACATAATCCACATGAGACTAATAGTAATTACTGGCATAAATAGGCAAGCACATAGACACAAACCTGCTCAAGATGCCAAGTAGAGTCAATGTGGGGTTTGATTTTGCCGTCCTTGTAGAAATCCAGAATGGTATTCATTGCCTCGGTGATGAGCTCTGTCTCCCCATCTAGGTAGCCAAGGTGGAAGCCACACACAGACTTGTTTCCCTGAATCAAGCTGAGTGTGTGGATGGAGAACTGGTGGTACCAGTTCTTTGCCACAGCAAGCAGGTTCTTCTTTTGTCCTGCCAGCATGTTAGCCGCTCCTGGCAGAAAAAGTAAGAGCTTAAATCGCTTATCACTGGAATAAAAAGCTTAAGAAAGACTTTCAACTAGAAACTAACTTAGAGCAGGCCAGCTACACACCTGCAGTCAAAGGTTTTGTGACTACCTTAAATTCATGAAACACAGACTACTCAAAACTCTTTGTGTTGGCTCCTACCATTGAACTGTTGTTGAGGTTGGCAAATTTATATGTCTATAGATATTAAGATATATAATATGGGGAGTTGTAAATAGATGGGGAAGGAACTGGAACCCTTTATTCTGCACTCTTTTGTCAGACCACACCCATTTTCAAACTACACCTCAGTTTTGATCTCAACTTCTCATCCTCAGTGGTGAGGATTAATACTTATTTTTCCACAGACAGAAACATGCATGTACGCCTGCCAAAATAGTCTAAATCTTCTTTGTGGTAGTAATAATACAGTATTTTCTCCAGGACAAAATTTTGCCATGAGATTCAATTATGAAATTTTCCAGTCCCCCACCAACTTTCTCAGTTTTTTTCATCTGCAACAGCTTTACCCACCTGATAACCTATTTTCATTTCCTGATAACCTATTTACATCTTAGTAGTGAAAGACCCACTCTATTAATGTATTAAAAATGAGCAGAAAATTGGACGACAGATAATTTTTTGTCAAGTAATGTACACAAAAAGATCACAAATGTTTCTTTGTAACTGGTCATTTAGTGTGGAGATTTGCCGTTTTGGCTGTTTTACGTCACTGTAAATTAAATATATCTGTCAAGCGTCAAGTGCTGCACCTTGTTATATCGAGTTTGTTGTTTCCCTTCTGTCTCCCCTCAGTCCTCAAACTCTCACCTACACCTTCCACCCTAAAAAAAACCTCTTTAGCACTTCAGCTGTCACTGTCAACACATCCCTATTCCCCCTCATCCTGCGTTCATGTAGCCTATGGCCTCACTGTGTGAGTTTTTCTCAAGGGAAACAGGGGACACAAAGCATGCTCTGACAGAAAGAGAGACCCAGTCTGCTACATTCAGACACATTCCAGGTTTCTTGCGCATAAAACACTCATTGTTCGGCTATGCATACTTCTGATAAGCTGGAAAAGAAGCTGAGGGAGAGGATGGTGGGGTGGAGCTGGAGGGTTTTGTGGGGGTGACATGGATGAATGGGCGAGGGTGGAGGGCACCATGCTGGGTAGTAGGTTTCTGAGCAACATGCAAAGGGAGCACCCTGTTCTCCATGGATGCCGACCCCACCCACTGCATGTATACTGGTTCGAGTTTGGCATCTCAACACAGCTAGTGTAAAGGGCTTCCCACGAATGACATGCAGCATGCCGATGACATGGGCCTCTATTCTGCCCACCACTCTACTAGTCTGCTACAAATTAAAGGTTTGACATCATCGGTCTTATATTGGGTATATTGTCTTTTGTTGATGTACTTTATTTCAAGCTGTAGAGTTGCAGTTAAAAAAAATGAAGCAGTAAATTGAAGCCTTAGCATTCCTACTAATGTTACATGACGCTATAATAAGGTCACCAACAATTATAATGGCCAACATTTTGGTTTAGACCTTAAGTTTTAGAAAAAAAAAAGAAAAAAAAAGTGGCCACTTAATAGTATAGTTAAAAAATTACAGCCCAAATTATTGGCCTGTTCTTCCAAAGCAATGTTGTGGATGGCTGTCTCGTGAAAATTACCAACTGACTCTCAAGCATTGGCCTTGTTTTTCTACTTACCATAGGTAATAAGTTTGCCCATAGGCTTCAGCAGGTTGTAGGCCTTATGGGTATCTGATCCTCCAAGAGGGTCCAGTATTATGTCCATCCCTGGAGCAGAATAGAGAAGAAAGGGACAGTCATCACTGGTGTGAATTCAGAGAGAACAGCCTGCCAAGTCTCCTCAGCAGCCACCTCTGCATGGCAGAGTTCACTGGGAGTAGCAAGTGTGGCCAAGTCGCACCATGTTTGCACAGAGACGAGCCCATATATTCCAAGAGATGTAAGAAGAAGAGTCGAGTAAGGGCCTGCTTGTTTGATGTTCTTTCATTCTTGTCACTGATCAGACCAGAGGGATAAAATGACTTTCTGTTGCTGTCCATTCCTTGGAGGATAGAATAATAACCTACCCTCTGAACAGATGGTAAAGGATGGCAATCTAACTATGAAGGTTTCTTTGTGGCTTATTAATGGTGAACTATATAAGCTTAGGCCTAATGATGCTCCTTTCCGCCAGAGGGGACTCCTCAAATTGGGCTACCCCTCCTTGCTCTATTAAACCCTGCTTTTATTGATTGTGGGAGGCTCACAGCAGGACTCCGCCTTGACCACAGCACACATAAATTGACAGGCAGCCAAAGACACAGAGGGGAAAGGTAGAGAGCAGGATTGCACATTGATCCAGGCTTCTAATTAGATACATTGTGTCCAAAGTGTCAGTTCTCGCTATCTGTCTCTGTAATGCCTGTCTGTCTAACTCTATGTTACAAAGAACAGAGACGGCCTGAAGAGGGGACTATGAAATGAGCCACCAGCATAATAACAGTCTCCATCCTGCTAGGATCACAGCAGTAGTTGGAAGGAGAAACAGGAACTGAACATTGTTTCATTTTACTGAAAAGCTGAATTCTTTTGTGCTCATCTTGGCGAGTCCATCTACATAAAACTGTGTGGATACGTTGTTGGTGGCAGTGAGAATCCAAACAGTCACTGTTTAGTGAAATGAGTTTGCTGGGTAGGGAAAATGAACTCCCTACATGCTATCCGTCTAGTGCACATTGCAGCCAGCTCTGTCGAGAAAGACAATGTGGTTGAAAATGTATCATCTCAGTGTTTGCAGTCACACAGTACTGGTTCTTGCCAGGGGAAAATATCAATCTGAATTTCAGATTGTTTCAGTTTCAAATATGAAACAGTGTCAATATGAATTTAGGCAGCTTTAACAGTGCAGATGGCTAATTTTCTTACCTTTTGGACTGATCTTGCGGACTTCCTCCACATAGTCCTTGGTGCGATAGTCAATGGCATGCGTAACTCCACCCTGGGTGATGGTCTCATGTTTACTGGCTGAAGCAGTGCCAAACACGGTCACATCCTTCACTGTCTTGCACAGCTGAGTAGCTGCAATCCCCACACCACCTGAAGGAAGACAAGAGTTAATTTGATATGTGAAATCATGAACTGCAAAAAACACGATTTGTAATGAATTCTAGTGCAAACTCTATTTGGCATGGATTTATAACCAACTTAATCTTTCAAGGCGACACCCTGAACAAAACATACCTCAACACAAGCATCTAGGAATTTCCATTCTACACATACTTATGGCAGGTAAATGTGATTTTAATTATTAATTCTCCCAAACAAGCAAGTCAATATCAGTGTGAATGTGTTTTGCTCAGGGGTATGTAAGGAGCGCATTAAACACAATCACATTAACCCAGCTGGCCTGGGGTGAATAGACACCCACACACATCCAGGTCTGGAGAAAGTAGCCATTGTAGCTCAAATGACATCGAATTTCTGGTTCTCTTATTTGAAACAACCTGTCAAAGATTCCAAAGTAAAAAAAAAAAAAAGTAGCTCAAGTCTTTTTTTCCCACCATTTGGAAAATGACAGTTGGATTACAAATGAAATAGTTCCTTATGATCATGTCAGCTGAAAACAAAAAGGGCTCCACTGTCCAAGACTTTAAAGACAGATTGGATGTTTTGGATATCTGTGTTTTTTGTGTGCTGTATTCCAAAGTGTGTACATAGTTGTGGCAAAAGCCTCTGCCAGTGTTTGCAAAGGCAGCCAGCGCAAGAAGTAATAGGTTACTGATAAGCAGTGGCTTGTTTGAAATAGGGCCTGACTTGAGGACTTGAACTGAAAGGCATCCATAAAGGTCATTCATGCCTGACTAAGTAAAGAGTGCATCTTATCTGAATCAGAGAGTAAAGCAAAACATATTTAAATAACAAAATTTTAATTGCATAGTTGGGCTGCCTGTCTGCTAGAAAGGTTTGGAGTAGATGAATAATTTGCATGCTTACATAGACATCTACACTTAAATATTTAGTAGACTATGGAAGATCAAGAGCAAGATCATCTTAAAGACAGGAAGACAGAGACATGCATGAGAAGCACACATTTGATTGCCCTCGTGCAAAAGATTAGACTTGTGGAATTGATTGTTGTCAATAAGTTATCTTTACATACAGTGATAAAATGCACACAGTAGCAAAGTGTTTTGAACATGCCGTGGGATGTGTTGTTTTCAGTGCTTTCGATAACGTTGGAATTTTCGTTTCTTTTGTGATGCACAGAGCGAATGTTGTGCATCAGATGACACTGATGCACCTCTGGTCCCTTCATATAAACGTAAAGATTATTCTGAGCCAGTGAACCAGTCTTTTCAGAGCAACGTCTCAGCAGTTCCTCTCTGCGGATGCACTATTGCATAAAAACAGCAAAAAATAAATAAATAAACTGAACCAAGATCTAATGATAGGATTAGGCCCCATTCTCTTACCAGCATGAAAAATAAAATGGTTAGCTTTTACTCCAGTGTTAAAAATAAATGAAAGTTTTGTAACTAAAATGTGTTATAGAGGAGAAAGAACCAGGAAATAAAAGCCCAATTTTTAAAAATTCAACTGCTTCAAAAGCCTTATTTTCAATGTGGTGACAAGAAATTCTTTTTATTTTGTGATTTTAATTTGACAGACTTAGACCAGGAGAGGTGAATCAATCACTCTGCATTGGTGTTATCAAGCCTACTGACACCAACGTTATTGAAGGGTATGAGAATCAAAGCTCTTGCTGCTGGACATGAAACAAAAATGAAAGTGAACAATAAACTGTTTTTTGATACACAGTCACCAAAATCATTCAAGGAGCGTCTTTTAAAGAAAAAAAAAAGGTAGTTACAGCGAACGGCATATTTAAAATCACAATAATTCCTTTAGTCAGTTCAAAAGACTTAAAACAAACACTGCATGGTTCACAGCAGTGATTCTGATCTCATTTTCTGTTAGATTTGAATCTTTCACAGGGTTCAAAAAAGGGTCAAAAAACTTGTAAAGACAAATCCAAATCATTTTAATTTGCTTCCTTCACAAACCTTCATTTCAGTGTAAAGAAAGAAATGTATTCTGTGTTGTTTTGTTGATGTAAGAGCCCGAGTCCAGGAGAGATGAATCAGCCGCTCTTCGTTACTATAATCACGCCTGCTGACACCGAGGGTACAACTGACGAGAAAACAAAATCGAGGCTGTTGCTGTTGGATGTGAGTGCCGTCACGGCTGCGTTATAACAGCACCGTCTCTCCTTGTCCTCAGTGAGAAACCAAGTTTGCGTTGCCAAGGAAACCTCGGCCAAATTGCCGACAATGACTGAGCAGAGGGAGCCATTTTGTTTCAATAACTGCTCTTGCTTTGGGCAAGTTTGTCATTAGTATCATATCTTACGTTATAATTAATATGTGATAACAAACAGTTCATCACAAAGCTGCATGCATGTTTCCACACATTCGAACACAGCGCAAACATGCCTGCTTGACTTGAGTTTTTGCACTAGTGCACACGCGACAGTTTGTGTGAGGTAGAGGGGAAGGCAGACAAAGTGAGAAATTGTTGAATATGCATCGCCTGTCATGTGGGAGGTTTAAGAGCTGTTTTTAGTCAATGGCTTTGTCACATAGTAGCAACCCACAGGTGTTAAAAAGTGTCCAACATGATGATGCATCCATTTTCCCTGCATACTTGCAGTCATGCACTCACATTAATGTTTAACCAATGCTACTGTAGTAAACATAGTAATTTCCCCTTCTGTTGCAGTAATACATAGTGAGGGGAAAACGTAGCAATAAGTGTCTGTTTTAATGATATTGTACACCCATATTTTGATAACGAGAGAAGACAAAATTAGTTCATACTGGCTGGTTACAAATGTTTCCAGTCAAAGAAACATTGTGGCCAATGAGGAGAACGGTACCTGTTTCTGAATCCCATGAGAACAAACTCCTGATCCTCCATCACAAGACTCCTGAGCTGTGCCAGAACCCCTTACTGCACCCCATCTCGATTCGCAAATACACACACACACACAGACACACACATTGATACATGCACAGATCACAAAGGAGAGAGGAGCGGGGTCATAGCTTTGAACAGCTCTTAATGGCTGCTGGTATCTGCTAATCTTCACAAATATGCCAAGATTAAAATATTAACCTCTTATTAACCTAGTGCTTTTGCTTGTGTTCCTGAATTATAAGTCTTCCCTTTATATCTATTTCTTTTAACTAAAATAATGTTTCTTGGCAGGAGCAGAGTGTGAATTCATGTTAATTTAGAACCAGCCACAAACACTAATCCATTTGCTCAGGGAAGCAAAAAGCAGCTTAAGTACATTTTTGTTGCTAATTACATTTCTTCTCCTGAAGATTCAATTGAATTGTTTACACTCGGCGATTAGGAAATGTCAAAAAGCATCCACCTATCTGTTGTGTTCTTCCCTCTCCCTCTCCGGAGAAGCTGGATAAACAGTGGGGTTTTTGTCTTTCCCTGAATCCGTACATTCTAACATTCTGGCACAAATTGCACTTGGCTTCCACAATATGAGTTAGGAGTGAAGAGGAATTTTCCCCAAAACACAGTGGAATCCAAACTGACACTGAGGCCACTATTATTGCTCCACACCCAGAGTTCACCAGCAGGGGAGGGTGGGGACATGAGAAATATTTTTCAGATTTATAAAAATAAATAAAATATCCGCGCCGAGCGTCAATCAACTTTAAAGCCATATCCTTGTCAGCGTTTCGTGTTACTTGCCCAAATGAAGATCATCTTACACGTCACGGTGTTACTCAATTGTATGAGTCAGTCTGTGATTTCAGGTGTTAGTATGGGGACGGATGGAGGCCGTACGGTTACTGTCAACACCAGAAGATGACTAGTCCCTGGTCCTTGTTTCTTTTTCTGGGATTTCTTCACAGAAGGACTCATGTCCTCCTTAACCTATCATTAGTGGCTAACAAAGAATGAAATACAGGAATCTCTTGTTACTCAGACTCACCATGGCAGGGTTACAATAGAGCTTGAAAGAACAGCAAGAATCTCAACAAGTTTATTTGGTTCAACTTGTTGAGATTCTTGCTGTTCTTTTAAGCTCTATAATTGACTTCAGATACAACTCCTGTAATGACAAAAGGAGCTGTGGCTGGCTGTTGTTAATGTGTACTTTTGAGGTATTATACTACATTATACAAACTGTGTTTTCTGGAATGACTGTTCTAGTGTGTGTACTTGCACTGTGGGCTTGAAGAGCAGTTTAATGTGCTCTCTCTAATGTTGAAATTCTGTGTTTCATACAGGAAATCCACTTTTAGTTACTGTGAGTGAATTTTAAAAAAATATAAAAAACATCCCTTGCACATATGTGATGGTGGCCCCTGTAATTTCCTGAGTAATGATTCTCACGTAGCACTAACATAAAAACAGTCACAGCACAGACCAAATAATAATATGCATGTAAAGGTATAGACATAACCTTCTTTTCTTGTCGCAAAATGAAACGCAAGCTGGCGTGCACTTATTCTGTTTTGCCACACAGATACAGATACGATCACACAAACAGGTGTCCTGAAAAAGGTTTCACATACACCTGTGACTGTATGTGGTGGTTGGGATGAGGGTAGATGGGGTCATTTGTCAACGGCTACAGCAATGAGAGCGCGAACAAGCAACGTGATTGGTGGGTTAGGTTGGAGGTTGCCCTGGTTTCTCTTTCCTATCTGTGCAGCTGATCTGCCTGCCGGCAATGCCAGGCCCAGGGAACGCAGAGACGGTTCAACCACGCAGCCCAGATTCCCGCTTAGTGGTCAGAGTGAATTAGCATTTGCTAAACTAGGGTACGACCTCCTGTGCACACAGACTGGAAAGAAGAGGAAGGGAAATCATTTATAAAGACACAGACTTTTGTAATCACTCCAAGGAGCAACAAATCTGTTAGAGCCAGAGATGTAAGTACGCATGAGCTAATGCTTAAACAGCAAGGGACTTTGTTAGCTGGTAAATAATTAATGAGAACAGTAATCTGTGAGGGAGTCCTGGGAGGAGAAAATTACACTGAAATAAGAATCTTTCTTGGAATC